GCGACGGGTGGCTGTGGACGCCTCCGCGGGCCGGCTGCCGCGAGGATTCCAGGAACGCGATCAGGGTGGTCCTGGGCGGTGGAGCGAGTCGGGGGGCGAGACCCGGTGCGAGAGGGGAGCCGGGACCCCGCGACCTCCCGGGGGCGAGACCCGGTGCGAGAGGGGAGCCGGCACCCCGAGACCTCCCGGGTGCCCCGCGGAGAGCGGGCCGCCTACAACTATGCCAGGAATCCGCCCCGGGAGCGGCGCGGGCGGGCGGGCGTTAAACATTAGCGCGGGGACGCGGGCGGGACGGGCTGCAGGTCCCCCGCGCTGGCTCTCGTGACCCGGCTCCTGGCCCTGGGCTGGCACCCCAGCCCCTTCGCCTGCTCCGGACCGAGGTACCCCGCCACGGGAAGGACCCGGGGTGGGCGTGCGGGGGAGACCGCGAGCCGAGCGACCCGCCGCTCCCCCAGGACTCGGCTTGCTGGGAGCACGGCCGCGGTCTTCCCTTTTTTAAAAAAGTAAAGCGAGTAGGGGGCGCGACGGCCTGAGCCGGCAGGGAAGCGGCTCTCCGGGAGGAGATGACTTAGAAGCCAGCCCAGGAGCATCGCTGGTTCCTCCCCTTCCGCCCCTGGGCGGGCGCTCAGGAGGCGGCGGCCCGAAGTGCACGGGAGACGTATTTGCTTCGTACAGGACAGGGGTCCAGGAGGCCTGATCCGTCCTGGACAAGGACCAGGTTCCCAGCGCCGCTGGGGGCCGGGGCCCGTACTGGCCCTGCCTGGTCTCCGCACGGTGGAGGGAGGCCTGGGGACCAGAGGAGGGCTGACTGGGACCACCCAAGGCCCTCTGCAGGCGGGTAGGTGGTCTCCGTCCTGGTCCCTTCCCTAACACCTCTCTTTCTGGCCTTTGGCTGGAGGTCTGGCCAGTGAGAACACCACTTACAGGAGGCTGGGCCTCCAGTTAAGTGGCTGATAAGTGGCCTTTGGTCTGTCTCTGTCAGCACCAAGGATCTGGAGACATTTCCTCAGGTGGCAATATTGATAGAACGGTCCCATGGTTGTATGCTTCAGGTTGGGGATGGACAGCTGAATCCATTCGTGCCCCGCCACTGTGGGTTCTTTCCTGAGGCTGGAACCTGATCGGAGGTCTCCTTCCACACCCACTGACAGGAGCAGGGCAGGGGACAACCTGGTGGGCACTTCTGAACCTGGAAGGCCAGTCCCCATCAACAGGGCTCATCACTGCAGTGCCACTTGTCCCTAAACCTGCCCACTCTAGTGGGAGGTCTGGCCCGGGCACTGAAGGTGAAGGAGCCGCACTAAGAAGCCATGACTCCTCCATGAGTAAGCACATTAGCATATTCTAGGCCAGTTTTCTGTTTCTTTTCTTTCTCTCTCTCTTTCTTTCTTTCTTTCTTTCTTCCTTTCTTTCTTTCTTTCTTTCTTCCTTTCTTTCTTTCTTTCTTTCTTCCTTTCTTTCTTTCTTTCTTTCTTCCTTTCTTTCTTTCTTTCTTTCTCTTTCTTTCAGGTGTTTGCTATAGGGCACGCACCAGGAAGACAGAGACAGAGAGGCAGAAAGTGAGAAATCACCCCCCCACACACACCCTCCGGGGGGATGGCCATGTCACAATCCCTTCTCCTCCATTCTCCTCTCAGGATCTTGGGCACGCACACACATGCGCCTGGCGTGAGTTTAAGCCACGGGGTCTGGGACTCAAACTGCGGTCGACTGCATGGGAGTTCAGTGACATAGCCATTACGCCAACTGCTGGTCCTATTTCTCTTTTCTAAAACATTCCCGAGTGACATCAGTCGAATCCATACATTATTTGTATTCAGATGAAAATCCTTTTGTGGCAAAAACTTTTAGTAGGTTTTTGTCAGAACTGTGGACACCGTCTTTTTTTTTTTGAGAGAGAAAGTGAGAGATCACCTCCCAGGTGGGAGAATGGCCACACCGCAGTCGATTTTCTCCTCCATTCTCTTCCTGCGATTTTTAGCATGCTTGCACATGTGCCCTGTGAGATTTTTTTCAAGCCACCGGGTCCGGGACTCAAACTGTGTTCCACCATGTGGGAATTCAGCAATTCAGCACCTTAATCACCATGCTACCTGCTGGCCCAACACTGTTTTTTTTTCTTTAGAGTTTTTTTTTTTTGTATAGGTCGCATGCGCTCGCCAGAAAGACAGAGAGAGATAGAGAGATAGAAAGCAAGAAATCACCCCCCCCCAGGGGGGATGGCCACACTGCAATCCCTTCTCCTCCATTCTCCTCTCGGGATCTTGGGCATGTACGCACTCGATCCTGGCCTAAGTTTTAGCCTCTGGGTCTGGGACTCGAACCATGGTTGACTACGTGGAGTCCAGCGGCAAAGCCATTAGGCTAACTGCTGGTCCCCCCAACACTATCTTTTAAAAATATCTCCTGGAAGTTGCTCAGAGTGGGAGGCTACCCATGAAGGAGAGCTCTGTGGCTGGTGAGGGGTAGAGCGGCTCTCTGTCTTGCTGCTTGAGGGTTCTGGGGTGGGTGCAGCCCCCATGAGGGGTAAGCGGCTCTTTTAGAACACAACAGAGCGCCTGGCAGGTGGTGTGGTGGTTAAGTGTGCTGGACTCCCACATGAATGAACACGGTTTGAGTCCTGGACCTGGTAGCTTGCTTTCTCACTTTCTCTTTCCCGCTCTCTCTAGCACTCTCTGGCCAAATTAAAATAAATAACAAATGGATTAATCAAGTTAAATAAAATAAATATTTAAAAAAAAAACAAAAACAAAAGAAAACGACAGAACAGGTATGACCGTAGTGCTCCAGGAGACCCCTGGGTCCCCGCCATCTCTCTGGGGTCCCCAGGGCTCTCTTGCCTATGGCGTGTACATGGCCTGTTTGCAAACTGGGTGAGGTTTCCTTGGCAGCCAGGGCAATTAATGCTAATGACACGCTGAGCTCCCCCGGGCAGGCACGCTGAGGTTAGCTTGGGAGCCTGGGCAGGTTCGTCAATGATTGCCTGGCAGTTTCTTGGAAGTGAGCCTCCTGCGTTCTGGTCTGGGCTGCATTCTCCAGGAAGCAGAAGACAGTAAGGTGTCAATTGATAGGAAAATATCAGGAGTTTGGCTGATGTTGTGGGTGTCATCGTCGGCAGATTACAATGGGCAGGTTTCAGAAGAACTGGAAAGTCTCGCGGTGGAAGGGCTGCCTTGCGAGGTGGTGAACACCATCACTGGGTGTGAGAAGCAGGGGCAGGAGGTGGATTTTCCATCCTGGGTGTGGGCTTGCCCCAGGTGAACCCGCTCTTCAGTGAGGAGCCAAGTTTGGAATGCTCGCACAAATGCCGTTCTTTTGGGTCACTGACTGCTGATACTGGTTTAGGATTGGGAAGTTTCCAGGGGCTCTGTCCAAACATCTCAAGGTGGCGAACAGAGCTTTGGATCTCCTCCTCATAGTGAGTCATTTCTACCCGTGTCCCCTTCCCAGATGTGGGAAAAGCAGTCTGCTGGTAACTCAGTGTGGAGAACCACGGTGTTCTGGGTGTTCTTGCCCCCGGGGTGTGTGGTTTCCAGGTAACCTGTAACACTCGTTGAGCTTTGTCTCTGTCTTTCCTCAGCAGGACATAAGCTGTGGGCCTGAGTCATGTCCAGCCAGGCCCTGCTGAGACACAGAGAGAACTGAGGGTCTCCAGCACCTGGCCCTGATTTGCTGTAAACTGTCAGCTCCTGCACTTTGGACCAAAAAAAATCTCAGGTACTGCAATTTCCATAATGGGGAAAAATTTGTATGTTATCACCGTCATCATGGAGAAGTAGTTTGGCAAGATTCGCAGTCTTTGGAGTCCGCAAAACTTGGTTTGCATCTGGCTTTGTTATTCGGTAGCCTTGGGACAGGTCCCTTAAGCTTCCCTGAGCCCCGGTTTCTACGGTTTCTACGTCTGTTCTGTTCGATGCGGCAAATCATAGGTTCTTCCAAAGCTCATTTTTTTTGGAGAGGTTTTTTTTTTTTCCCATAGGGCACATGCACTCTCCAGACAGACAGAGAGACAGAGAGACAGAAAGCGAGAAATCACCCCCCAGAAAGGATAGACACATCACAATCCCTTCTCCTCCATTATCCTCTCAGGATCTTGGGCACGCACGCACACGTGCCCGGCGTGAGTTTTAAGCCACCAGGTCTGGGACTCGAACCGCGGTCGACTACGTGGGAGTCCAGCAACATAGCCATTACACTAACCGCTGGTCCCGGAAAGTTCTTTGAGGGCTAGAAATACTGCTGTCAGTGGCGAGCGCAGTGCCTGTCCCACAGAGGCTTGGTAAATGAAAGCCGTCATCATATGATCATCGACCTTCCTCCTCCTCAGAGTTCCTCAGTTCCGCTCCACTTTTAGGTGCCAGAGCCCTCGGACTTCTGGGAACTGGACCTTTGGGTTCTAGAGGAAGACGGGAGTGATACTCCTGGGGTGCCGTAAAACCACACGAACTCAGACTCTTACTTCAGAATTCTGTATCACCGGGTCCGGGACTGCCAGCCTCTGTGTGTATGGGAGGTGCTCAGCGTGTAAACGTGAGGGTTTAGGGCTGCTCAGGAAGTGAGCTACGACACTGAGGCTGCATCTTTTTTGTTGTTGTTTTGTTTTGGGTTTAGAGAGAGATTTTTGCTATAGGATGTGTGTGCTTGCCAGAGAGACAGAAAGCGAGAAATCACTTTTTGTGATGGATGGTCACGCTGCCGTCTTTTTTCCAGTATCCTCTTGGGATTTTGGGCATGCACACACATGTGCCCAGTGTGAGTTTTAAGCTGCTGGGTCCAGGACTTGAACCGAGGTTGACTACATGGGAATCCAGTGACGTAACCATTATGCCATTTGCTGGTCCGCCGAGGCTACATCTTGAACAGTCAGTGCGTGCACTGCACTTCTCAGTGGTATGCCTGAGCCCGCCTGTAAAGGCTCCTGCACACCAAGCTTTCATGGGTAGCCAGCGGGATTAATCTCGGGATGCAGTGCTAAGTGAATCAAACCTTTTTCTTTCGTTTTTTTTTGGAGAGGTTTTTGCTATAGGGCGCATGCACTCGCCAGACAGACAGAGAGAGACAGAGAGATAGAAAGTGAGAAATCCCCCCCCCGGGGGGGGATGGCCATGCCTCAATCCCTTCTCCTCATTCTCCTCTCGGGATCTTGGGCACGCACGCACACTCGCCTGGCGTGAGTTTTAAGCCACCGGGTCCGGGACGCGAACTGCGGTCAACTATGTGGGAGTCCAGCGACAGCCATTACGCTAACTGCTGGTCCCTCTCACTCAGGTTCTTCACCTGTGTAATGGGGGGGTGGGAGGTTTTTTTTTAATTTCTTTTTTTTTTTAATTTATTAATTCACTTTACACCATCACAACACACAAATGAATTTTCCATCAAAATACACTGTGCATTGGCTCAATCAAGTACATCCACATACATGTTCTCAGCAAATAATTTTCCAATTCTTACGTCCTGCATACCTTGCCCTTTGTCTTGCCATCCCTGATTCCCCATCCCCCACCCTCTGCTATGTCCCACCTTCCTCCTCCATTGTCCCTGGCATCCATGGTTGCCCTCCATGCCTTCCGCCCCCCCCCCATTC